AAAAAATTAGCTGGACATGGTGGTGCATGCCTGTAATCCCAGCTACTTGGGAGGCTGAGACAGGAGAATTGCTTGGACCTGGGAGGCGGAGGTTGCAGTGAGCCAAGATCGCACCATTGCACTCCAGCCTGGGCAACAGAGTGAGACCCTGTCTTAAAAAAAAAAAAAAAAAAAATTAGTTGGGCATGGTGGCACGCACCCGTAATCCCAACTACTCAGGAGGCTGAGGCATGAGAATCACTTGGACCCAGGATCATGTTACTGCACTCCAGCCTGGGCCATAGAGTAAAAAAACCCTGTCTTAAAAAAAAAAAAAAAAAAAAAGGAAAACCATTTTTCAATGTGCCTGTACCTCAATAGCATTTTATCACCATAAATATTTTGTTAGATGTAATTTTTGTTATTATTGTAAATGGAAGATTTTAAAAAATTATATGTTGTCAGCTCTGATGTTTATAAATGCAATTACTTTTTTCTTGAGATACAATTTACATACCATAAAAATTCATCATTTGAAAGTGTACAATTCAGTGGTTTTTCCTATATTCTCAAGGTTATATACAGCCATCACTGCTATCTAATTCCAGAACATCTTCATCACACCAAAAGAAAACTTAACTCATTCATAGTCACTCCCCAAGCCCTCCTCTCCCCAGCCCCCCGAAGCCACTAATCTACTCTCTGTCACTATGGATTTGTCTATTCTGGGCATTTCATATAAATGGAATCACTTTCTATGTGGCCTTTCACCTCTGGCTTCTTTCACTGAGCATCATGTTTTCAAGGATTATCTGTGTTTTAGCTGTAATTCGTTTTTTTGTTTTGTTTCATTTTTGTTTTATTTTGTTTTATTCTGTTCTGTTTGAGATGGAGTCTTGCTCTGTCGCTCAGGCTGGAGTGCAGTGGCACGATCTAGGCTCATCACAACCTCCACCTCTCAGGTTCAAGCGATTCTCCTGCCTCAGCCTCCAGAGTAGCTGGGACTACAGGCGCATGCCACCACACCTGCTAATTTTTGTGTTTTTAATAGAGATGGGGTTTCACTATGTTGGCCAGGCTGGTCTCGAACTCCTGACCTCAAGTGATCCACTCACCTCAGTCTCCCAAAGTGCTAGGATTACAGGCACGAGCCATCACACCCTATAATTAGTTTTTCATATTGATTGGATGTGGGAATATCCTTTCTCTGCTAAATTTCATTCATAGTTCTAATACTTTGCCAGTAGATGATTTGGGGTTTTCTATGAATAGACAATCATACCACTTATAAATAATCCCAGTTTTGCTTTTCTTTTCCAATTCTTATCCCTTCTTTCATGCCTACTTTCCAGGCTAGGACCTCAGGTACAATGTTGAATCGACTCATGGATGAGGGGCAAATCCATCCCTGATTCTAAGAAATGTGTCCATTGCTCCTTTAAGAACTCTGTGTTTGTGCTGGGATTTGTGGATAATCTTTATCAGTTTAAGGAAGTTTCTTTCTTTCTTTCTTTTTTTTTTTTTGAGACACAGTCTCACTATGCACTATGTTGCCCAGGCTGGTCTCAAACTCCTGGGCTCAATCGATTCTCCCACCTCAGCCTCCCAAGTAGCTGGGATTACAGGCGCACACCACCACGCCCAGTTAAACTTGTCTTTTTTGTAAAGATGGGGTTTCACTGTGTTTCCCAGGCTGGTCTCGAACCCCTGGGCTCAAGCGATTCGTGTGCCTTGGCCTCCTGAAGTGCTGGAAACCACCATGCCTAGTCTAAGGAAATTCCTTTCTATCCCCAGTTTGCTAAAACATTTTTATCTTAAGTAGATGTTGACCTTGATTTCCAGTGCCAAGATGATCATATGACTTTTCTCCCTTAATTCATTAATGTGATAAATTCACTAATAGATTTTTCAAATGTTAAATGAGCCTTACATTTCTAAGATAAACTCAGTTTGGGCATGATGCATGTATCTGTTTGGCTAATATTTGATTTAGGATTTTCACATCTAATTTCACAAGCAGGGTTGGTCTATGATTTTTCCCGTGAACGCACTTTGTAAAGGGAAAGGAGCTGTCTCGAGTCTCAAGTGTCTCTCTCAGATGATCTGCCCACCTCGGCTTCCCTCTCTCCGAGTCTCTTGTCTCTTTCTCAGGGTCTCTATCTGTCCTTCCCCATACACACTGCTTTGGCTTGAGGGTGGTTGGCCTAGAGGGTGCCCTCTCAGGGGACAGAGAGTGGGAGGCTCCCCCAGACCCTGCAGGAGCCGCAGAGGTTGGGAGCTAGAGAGCCTGGAGCAGCCAAGCAGCCATCGCTCCTGGGCCCCTCGCTGAAAAGCGAGGCTTGACAGAAATCCCCCATCCGTTCTCAGCCCCATACACCCAGCCCTCAGAGGAAGTGGCTAAAAAGGAGCTGGGGTCAGGGGTTAATGACCCCATTGTGCTCAGGGCTGACGGATGGCCCTGCTTGTCAGTGGCAGCCCAGGGACACCCCCTCATCCTTGGAGGGAGGGGCCCCGCTGGCCTTTGATAACCACTGGGGCCACCATTCCTGCTGGGGGGTGCCAGGCCAGCCTCTTTGGTGGGGTCTGGTCTGCTGAGGCCCTGGCATGTAGCCCTCCGCCCCCTCTCTACACCCACCCCATTCTCTACACGGGGCTACAGGGAGCCACGGAGGGCGTTTCTGACTGAGGGCGCTGCCCGTGGCCCTCAACCCATCAATCTCGAGCACCTGGCACAGGCCTGGGCCATGCGAGCTCTGTCCATCTTCTGGACAATGGTGCCCTCAGAAGTGACCTGGCAAAGCCCAGCTCTCCCACATTTTGGATGGGGAAACTGAAGGGGTGGCTTGGACAGGAACATGACCAGGAATAGAACCAGGTCGTGTGACTTCCTGCCCAGATGTGCCAGGATGGGGCCAGCGCTGGGACATGGAGGTGAACCAGACACAGTCTCTCCCTCGAGGGACTCACAGGCTGGAAGTGGAGGGTCAGCAAGTCAACCAAAAATTATAACTGCGTGTGGAATATTCAGTAAGCACAGAGGACTAGGGGGTACCAGAAAAGGGAACCCTAGCCCAGCCAGGCCAGGGAGGCTTCCAGGAGGAGAAGATGCTGAGGCTGGCTCTTTTTTCTTTTCTTTTCTTTTTTTTTTTTGAGACAGTCTCATTCTATCGCCCAGGCTGCAGTGCAGTGGTGCAGTCTCAGCTCACTGCAACCTCCACCTCCTGGGTTCCAGCGATTCTCCTCCTCAGCCTCCTGAGTAGCTGGGATTACAGGCTCCCACCAAATAATTTTTTGTATTTTTAGTAAAGACGGGGTTTCACCATGTTGGCCAGGCTGGTCTCAAACTCCTGACCTCAGGTGATCTGCCCACCTCGGCCTCCCAAAGTGCTGGGATTACAGGCACGAGCCACCATGTCTGGCCTTATTTTTTATTTATTTATTTTTGAGATAAAGTCTTGCTCTGTCTCCCATACTGGTGTTCAGTGGCACAATCTCGGCTCACTGCAGCCTTGACCTCCCAGGCTCAAGCAGTCTTCCCACTTCAACCCCCAAGCACCTGAGACCACAGGTGTGTGCCACCACAATCAGCTAATTTTTTTAATTTTTTGGAGAGATGAGGTCTTACTACATTGCCCAGGCTGGTCTCAAGTTCTTGGGCTCAAGCAATCTTGCTGTGGGGTTGATTCTTAAATGGGGAGTAGAAGTTAGACCAAAGTAGATGGGGACAGCAGGGAAAGGTATTCCAGGCAGAGGGAACAGCATATGGAAAGGCATAGAGTAAAACCAGCTGTGAGAACCACAGCAGTTCAGCAGTGAGGGAGGAGGCTAAGGAGGCCAGCAGAGGCCAGGTTTTCCAGGGCCTCATATATCGTGTTAAGAAGAAAGATGCTGGCCGGGCGTGGTGGCTCACACCTGTAATCCCAGCACTTTGGCAGGCCGAGGCAGGCGGATCACCCGAGGTCAGGAGTTCGAAACCAGCCTGGCCAACATGGTGAAATCCAGTCTCTACTAAAAATACAAAAATTAGCTGGGCATGATGGCACGTGTCTGTAATCCCAGCTACTCAGGAGGCTGAGGCAAGCGAATCGCTTGAACCTGGGAAGGAGAGGTTGCAGTGAGCCGAGATTGCACCACTGCACTCCAGCCTGGGCATCACAGCAAAACTCTGTCTCAAAAAAAAAAAAAAGGCCAGGCACGGTGGCTCATGCCACTTTGGGAGGCTGAGGCGGGTGGATCACAAGGTCAAGAGATCAAGACCATCCTGGCCAACATGGTGAAACCCCGTCTCTACTAAAAATACAAAAGTTAGCTGGGTGTGGTGGCGGTCGCCTGTAACCCCAGCTACTTGGGAGGCTGAGGCAGGAGAATCTCTTGAACACAGAAGGCGGAGGTTGCAGTGAGCTGAGATCGTGCCACTGCACTCCAGCCTGGTGACAGAGCGAGACCTCCACCTAAAAAAAAAAAAAAAAAAGTAAGATGTTTAGATTTGGCAGTTTGTTACTTGTGTGGCATTGATCATTGACCCTTCAAACACACTTGTGGCCCCAAGTTCCTCCTGGTGCCACAAAAAAAAAATCCTCATAGGCATCTTTTTAGTGACCGTGTCATATGCTGTCACAGGATTGTGCTATGATGCACTTTACCAATCCTCTACTGGTTTGTGGTTTTTTGTTTTTCATTTTTTTGAGACAAGAGTCCTGCTCTCTGACCCAGGCTGGAGTGCAGTGGCATGATCTTGGCTCACTGCAACCTCCACCTCCCAGGTTCAAGTGATTTTTGTGCCTCAGCCTCCTGAGTGGCTGGGATTACAGGCGCCCGCAACCACGCTTGGCTAATTTTTGTATTTGTAGTAGAGACGAGTTTTCACCATGTTGGCCAGGCTGGTCTCGAACTCCTGACCTCAGGTGATCCAGCCATCTCAGCCTCCCAAAGTGCTGGGATTACAGGAATGATGCTGTAATCCTCTACTGTTGATTAAGGTTGTGGCCAGTTCTTCACAATTAGACACATTGCAATACAGATCTTTGAACATGAATCTTTATTTATACCTAGTTTGCTTTAACAAAGTTTCATACCAATGCAGCTGCCATTTGCATGAAGTCATCACAGCCACCAAGCCAGCAGAGCACCCGTGTGTCTTTCAACAAGCGCCCCGCCCCATAGGTGTCACGTCTGTGTTATACAGTGGCTCCAGGGCCTCCCTTGAAATTTGGCTGCAAATGTTGACAAAACAAACTTACCACCTGTCTTCTCTTTTCCTAGGCCCTCTCTCCTCCCATGCACCTTTCTAATTCCCCTCCAGCCTAGGGAATGGAAGCACCCAAGGTATCAGGACTGTGTCAAAAGGAAGAATAAATGGCCTTCGAGTGGGCCGATGAGGCACAGGAGGGGCTCGCTTGGGAGGAAGTGCCTGATTTGGGTCCAGGGTGGGGGGAACTCTCCCCATCCCCACTGGGTGTGTATGCATACGGGTAGTGGTGGAGAGATGGTGCTCTGTGGGTAGTTAAGGGAAAGTGCTTTGAAATCTGCCCAGAGCATACAGGCATAAGGGCAAACTGACTGAGCCCTGCTGTGTGCTGAGCCCGGTGGAGTGGAGGGCAGTGGCAGGTACAGCCTGGGTGGCAGAGGGAGGTGCTGTCCTCAGCTGAGGGGTGGGGCTGGGGGCCTGGGGAAGCACCGGGAGCTGCCCGGCCTCTGTTAGTTCTCCTCGGTATCCACACCAGGTGCGCTGATGACAAGTTGCCCAGGACCAGGCGGGGGCACCTCTGAAAAGCTGTAAATGAACCCACAGAGGACAGGCCCCTTGCTCTCCAGGCCAGGGGCACATGGCTGGCACTTGGAGCTCTCAAGAGAAAGAACAACCCCGTTTCAGACGGGGACTTCCACACAGCCCAGCAGTGGCATGCGAGCCCTCTCCCAGCACCACCCACCCTTTCTGGTCCCCAAGGCTTCCTTCTTCTGGGGCCTTCAGTAGAGACAGCAAAACCCCTGAAGCCCCACAATCCCAACACCCCTCCTCTATTGCAAAGAGGAGAGGCCACAGGGCCCCTCGGCCTCCCCTCCTGCCATCAGCTTTGCAGCTCTCAGCCCGCACCCCACCCACTGCCCTCCTGGGAGTGGGGGCCCCCATCTAGCTCCAGAACACCCCCATCTCTGCAGAAGCCCCTCTCCCACTGGCCCACCCCTCTGCTGTGTGGTCAGCAGCTCTTCTCCCCACTATCCATTCCTTCCTCTCAGCCCAGAAAATAAAAACAGCTATTGCTCTACCCCCTCTCCCTTCTCAGCCCAGCTTCCCCAAAGAACTGTCCACTAGCTGTCTGCACTTCCTTCCCTCCTGAATGCTTGTGACCCTACTCTGGAGAAGGTGCCATGGCATGGGAAGCCACTCTCCCAAACCCTCTCCTCCTCGTCTCTCCAGGCCGCTTTGCTGGCCACCCCACCTTCCTGGACAGCACAGCTCCTTCTCTGACCCCTCCAGCTGGGTGGGGCAGGCCTGCAGACTTCTCCCTTCCTCTTTTCATTCTCCCACTGGCTCATACCCACGGGCTCCCTGGAGCCTCTTCACAGTCGCCATCCTGGCACAGGCCATGGGTCAGTCACAGCCCCTGGGCACCAGGGCAGCCTGGGCCTCCCAGCCTCAGTTGGGATATGGAGGGAGGAGCCAGGTGTGACCATCACAGAGACCATCCTGGGTCTCCAGCCCATGACCTGTGGGGACCAGGAGGACCGGAAGGAAGGCAGCCACTGTGTGTTCCTGGACCCAAGCAGACACTGGGGTTCCTCTAGGAGGGGCTGGGGCACCAAGCTTCTGGGTGATCTGCTGGCTGGGCCCTTGTTCCTCCAGGAAGAGCAGCTGAGACACTATCCTACCCCATCCCTCCCCAACCCCTCCCCAAAGTCATATGGAGCAAGCCTCCAAAAATTGGTGGTTGGGGTTTACTGCTTCCTGAGGTGGAGTAATCTCCACCCAGAGACAAAAGTGTCCAGGTACAAATATTCTCTTTCTCTCTTTCTTGCTTTTTGGTAACAGCTCTACTGAGATGAAATTCAAATACTATACAATTCACACATTTAAAGCATACAATTCAGTGGGTTTCTGCATATTCACAGCGTTGTGCAATATTTTCACAGTCATTTTAGAATATTTTCATCACCCAAAAAAGAAAGCCTGTGCCCGTTAGCTATGATCCTCCCCAGCCCACCACTCACCCACGTTCCTTTCTCTACAGATTTGCCTATTCCAACACTGCAGGCTTAATGTCTCTTGCCTCAGTTTCCCCAACTATAAAATGGGGGTGATAATGGTGGCTCCAATTTGATAATGGTTGAGAGGGTTCAATGAGTTAATGTAAGGACGCAGGATGAGGTCTGCACAGAGTCAAGGCTACGTAACGTCTACTGTCATTATTACTTGACCTTGGCTGGGTCTCTGGGGGCTGGAGCTCTTCCACTGCCCACTAGCCTTCCACTTGCCCCATGAGCTCATTCCGCCCTCCCCTCCATCCCCCGCCCAGATCCTCTCCTAGACTCCAGATATCCCAACAGTCCCTCCCCAAGCCTGTCTGTCCTGCTGTGTCCCTCACTCAGGAAATGACCTTCCACCTGGTCACCTGGGCCAGAAACTGAGGGGCGTCCTTGAAACCTCCCTCCCCCTGTGCCTGCCCCCGTCAGCTGTTCCATCAGTCTGGACCGTGTCCTCACATCCCCTCCCTGGTGGCCACCCTGACCAGTCCCCACCACCAGCATTGGTCACCAGCCTGGCTCTGGCGTTCCATGTACTTCCATCCACCACGCATTGGCCACGGGGCCTCAGGTGAGTCACTCCTCTCTGAGCCGCCGCCTCCTGGAAAATAACACAGGGATAACTACGGTGCCGCCTTCCTCCGCTGTGTTGAGGATGACATGAATGCAATACATGAAGAACTTCAGCCCTTGATCGTCACTGTTGTCATCGTTATTCTCGCTCCTCTGGCTGACTTGACCACTCCTGACTGGGGTCCTTGCCCTCATCTCCCCCTTGGGACATCCTCCACACATTTTATAAAAGCTGCCATTACAGAGTGCTGACCACGTGCAGGACAGCAAGCCCAAACTGCCAAGCTCCCTTCACCATCACAACATGCCCACGAGGCAGGTGCCAGTGTCCTCGTTCAAAAAGGAGGAAACTGAAGCTGAAGGACCCTCACAGGAGTTAACCATCGCCTCTGGATACACAGCTGGCACCTGTGTATTGATTCAAAGCATTTAGTGAACATCTACTGTGTGCTGGCACTGAGCTAGGTGCTAGGAAAACAGTAATAAACCAGACTGGTATACGGCCAGCCCATATGGTAAAGATCTTTCTAGAACACAAATCTGACTCCCTTGAAATCCTCCAGTGACCCCATCGCCCTTAGGATCTAGTCCACACACCTTCCCAGGTCACCCTTGGTCCTCTGGAGTCCCCCACCTCTGTGGCCACTTTGCTGACCGGTCCTCCCCCTGCCGCCTCTCCCACCACCCCTGCCAGGCCCTCTGCTCCAGTCCATGGCCTGGGGTGCCTCTCCCACCAGCTTTGCCATTCACATCTGCTTTCCTACCCTTTTCTCAATTTATTTTCTTTTTCTTTTGAGACAGGGTCTCACTGGTGCCAAGGCTGAGGTGCCATGGTGTGATCTCCGCTCACTACAGCTTCCACCTCACAGGTTCAAGTGATCCTCTGGCCTCTGCCTTCCAAGTAGCTGGGACCACTGGGACCACAGGCAGACACCACCATGGTTAGCTAATTTTTTAATTTTTTTGTAGAGACAGAGCCTCCCTATGTTGCCCAAGTTGGTCTCCAACTCCTTGGTCTCAAGTGATCCTCCCACCTCACCCTACCAAAGTGCTGGGACTACAGGTGTGAGCCACCATGCCTGACCCTACTTCTCATTTTCATTGCCTGCAGAACTTTTACTATCTCTTGAGATTTTATTCACAGTCACCTCCTCCAGGAAGCCTTCCTTTCCCAACTTCAGGTTAGGAGCTCCTGGGTAGCCCAGGCCCCATCTTGCAGCACAGGGGCTCTGTGCTGATTTGCCTGTCTTCCTTGAGAGCCGCCAGGGTCTCGCTGAACTCAATGGCCCTCGCCCTATCCCTGCCCGCCACCCCTTCCAGTGCCAGGTGCGTGGGTTTCCTCTCTGGATGTCTGTGCCTGGCTGGAACGCCAAGGTGCTTGGCCAGCAGTGGCTTTGCTTCTTTTGCGCGTCTGTGGAGGCAGGGCTGGTGCAGGGGTGGAAGCGGTGCCTCTCGGGAGCAGCTGCGTGCAACCTGCCAGGGCTCTGGCTCCTGGGCCTGGGTGAACTGCCCAAGCCTCCATCCCTCCCCTCCCCCGGGCAACGGCTCTCACAAGGCGGGGGTGGCTGCCCTGGGAAGAGAGGATCTGCGCTGGAGTCAACTGGATGAGCACCCAGTCCTGGCTGTGGAGCCGCTTTGTGCCTCAGTTTCCTCATCTGAAAAATGGCATCAGCCGTCCCTACCCACCTTGCAGGGCTGTGAGGGGACGTGGGCAGGGACAGTGGACAGATATTGTGTCCCTGGAGGGCAGACACTTCGTTGGCTGGCGTCCTGACATTCCCATCTTGGACACGTTGTGTTTCAGTTTCCAAAAATTCCGGTACAGTTGGTTTTAGGCTTTGTCTCGGGGACAGCCCCATCTTGTGCTTCGCGCGGGTGGGAGCGGGTGCAGAGAGGGCTCTTTCTGGAGGGGCTGGGTCCCAGCGGCGGCCCCCCCAGCGCAGTCCACTCAGTCGTCAGGCGGGAGCTGCTGCCGGGAAGCAAGGGCCGCGGGAAATGGTGGAGGGCCGCGACCTGTCCCGTGCAGGGACGAGGCCTGGCGCGGAGGCTGGAAACCCAAGGGTCTTGCCACTCCCTGGGGGGCGTAAGGTGGGTCAGGGACGTCCTGTGGAGCCCCAGACGCCCCCCACGACCGCCCCGGTCCCGAGAGCCCCAGGAAAGCCGCAGCCGCCCCGAGGGCCACTCGCAAGATGGCGAACGCCAGTGCAGGCGCCGGGAGAGGGAGGGCGCCGTGGCCGCCACGGTCAGCGCGCAGCCCCGGGGTGCGGGCGCCGGCGGCGTGGGGAGGAGGGAGTTGGGGTGGGTGGGGGGCCGGGAAGAGCCAGCGAGAGGGGCAGGGAGGGGAACAAAAGGTCCCTTTGTGGCGCTGCGGGAGAAGAGGGAGCGCATTACCCAATGCCCAGAAGCCATGTTGGTAACAAGAGAACCATTCTCTGCCTCGCTTGGAAAACAACTTGGAGCAGAGAGAGACAGGGAGAGATTTAACCCCATGGGCGCGGGCGCAAGGGGCTCAAGGCCACGGCGGAAGGTGGGGAGGAGTGAGGGCACACTCAGGGCCTGGATGGCCAGATCTCTCAACCCGTCCCGTCCTGTGCCCGAGTGACTCCTGGGTCTAGAGTCCATCATGGCCGCCAGGTCAAACCCCAGCTGCCCTGTGACCCAGCCACAGCCATGGCTTCCACCTGTCTGGGCCTGGCCTGGTCCTTTCCCCTGAGCCACTTGCTCCAAGCTCTAGGGCCTGGCCCACCCTAACCTCAAGAGGACGCCCTCTGAATCCTCACATCCTCTGGCTTCACGTCCCAAAGCTGGTCCTGGTTCCAGGGCCACCAGGGCTGGAGCCTCCTGATGCTGACAGGGAGCTTGTCCCTTCCATCTTTGCACAGTTTGCCTTTCAGAACATTTTTCCTAAAATTTAGGCATATCTCTTCTTTCCCCACCACAGCTTTCTCCCCTTCCCCCACCTTCTACCTCCCAACACTGACTCTCTGGCTCCCAGAGAGGCCATCTGATCACAGGCAAGTGGTTCTAAAAGAAGCTACTGTTCGTGAGCACCTACTGTGGTTAGAGCACTTCCCACACGCTGACTTGATGACCCTTGCTACCTCTGGCCAACCTGTATGAAGTGAGCTGCTATCCATCTGCTGAGGCTACTTATTCAAAAAGCACCTCGCACAGGGACACACATAGGAGGCACTGGATGAACAAAAGATAGGAAGAGTTGGGAGGCCGAGGTGGGTGGATCACAAGGTCAGGAGATCAAAACCATCCTGGTGAAACCCCATCTCTATTAAAAATACAAAAATTAGCCAGGCATGGTGGCACGTGCCTGTAGTCCCAGCTACTCAGGAGGCTGAGGCAGGAGAATCCCGTGGGAGGCTGGAATCGCCACTGCACTCCAGCCTCCAACCTGGGCGACACAGTGGGACTCTGTCTAAAAAAAAAAAAAAAAAAAAAAAAAAAAAGGGAGATAGGAAGAGGCCAGGCGCAGTGGCTCATGGCTGTAATCCCAGCACTTTGGGAGGCCAAAGCAGAGGACTGCTTGAAGCCAAGAGTTCAAGACCAGCCTGGGCAACATAGCAAGATCCCCATCTCTACAAAAAAAAAAAAAAAAAAAAAGCAATAATTTGCCGAACGTGGTGGTTCCCACCTGTAGTTCCAGTTACTTGGCTACTTGAGAGGCTGAGGCAGGAAGATCGCTTGAGTCCAGGAGTTCGAGGCTGCAGTGAGCCAAGATTGCGCCACCGCACTCTGGCCTGGAAGACAGAGTGACACTTTGTCTCAGACATGACATAACATAACATAGCATAACATAAAAAAGATCGCATGGTTGCTCATTAGCAGGATAAAGAGGTCCTTCCTTCCTTCCTTCCTTCAACAAACACTGATTGAGCACTGGCCATGTGCCCAGCACTGTTCCAGCTCTGGGGCTACAGCAGTAGACATAACAGACCAGCTTGCCCTCACAGAGCAGCTATTCTCCTCTTTCCTCAGGAAGATGGGCAGTATACAAGTAAACCTACAAGCTAACATCAGGCAGCCGTGAGTTCCAGAATGAAAAACAAACCAGGGTAAAGGTGGAGAGAGATGGGAGGGGTGTTATGTTAGACATGGTGGTCAGAGAAGACCCCTGCGAGAGTATGACTTTTGACAAAGATCCGAAAGAAGAGAGGAAGAATATCTGGGGAAAGAATATTCCAGCCAGTGGCAACAGCATGAAAGGCCTGAGAGGGAATGTGCTGTTGAGTTTAGGAACAGCCAGGAGGCCAGTGTGTGGGAAAGGGAGTCAGACACGTGGGGTTGGAGGGCCTAGCTCTGAACGCTGGGGGAAGGCCCGTTGGGGCTTTGAGCAGGGGATGGTGTGGTCTGAGTTCCATCGCAACAGGACTCTCTGGAGGTCAAGGTCAGAAACTGAGAGACCCACAGGCCTTGGCCGCAGCCCTCCTTACCCCCCCTCTCCCATCCCTTGCAGCCACTCCTCCCCTGTTATCCACCCCTCCTAAATGAGACCCAAATCATTCTTTCAGTGTTTACTGAGCATCTAGTATGTGCCAAGAATGGGCCTGTTCATCTAGGACAGGTTCCTAAGGAGAGCAGCCTTGCCCCTGAGGGCAGTTCACTAATGGGGGGTTCCAGGTCCCTGAAGGGGAGACTTGCCTGTGGACGTCCTGGTTGCACAGAAGGAAGCTTCTTCTTGGGGAAATTTTTAAAGCTTCTCAAAGGACTCTGAGGACATTCCCTGCCCCACCCGCCTCATGGTGCCATGACATCAGCAAATGGCCTAGAAAAGTAGGGGTTTGGCTGGGCGCAGAGGCTCATGCCTGCACTTTGGGAGGCTGAGGCAGCTGGATCACCTGAGGTCAGGAGTTTGAGACCAGCCTGGTCAACATGACGAAACCCTGTCTCTACTAAAAATACAAAAACTTAGCCAGGTGTGGTGGCAGACGCCTGTAATCCCAGCTACATGGGAGGGTGAGGCAGGATAGATAATTGCTTGAACCTGGGAGGCAGAGGTTGCATTGAGCCAAGATCCCGCCACTGCACTCCAACCTGGGCAACAGAGCGAGACTGTCTCCAAAAAAAAAAGAAAAGCAGGGACTCAGTGCCTCACCTCTGACCTCAGGCTGGCTCCTGGCCTCCCAGGGCCTCAGTTTCCTCATCAGTAAAACTGCACCCACCCTGGAGCTCTGCGGGTGTATCAAAAGAAGGCAGCTTGCCCTTCGGGGGTAGGAAGGGGGCTCCGAGACATGAGGCTGCAACTCGTGGTCACCCAGCTGGGAAGGGACAGCACCTCCCACCCGCTCCCGCCAGGGCTGCCCCTGCTCTTCTGCCGCTCCCAGTGGCCTGGCGGGTGCCTCAGTTCAGCCATGGTTATGAAGCAGATGCATATGAACTGTCTGCGGGTGTCAGGCAGCACCTGGAGAGTGAGGTGGGGCAGTCATGCAGAAAGTGGTGACAGTAGCAGGGGGTTTCAGATGGCAGAGAGGCCGGTGGGCAGGAGAGGGAGGCTGTATGGCCCCGAGGACAGAAGCAGGATAGACCGAGGGATTGCAAATGAACAGAAAGGAAATGTGCTCCTGCTAGGCCCCCTGCCCTGGTCAGGGAAGAGAGCGATCCCTGATTCCCACTTGCCCCACTGACTTGCTATAGACCCTTGGGCAGCCGCCCCTTGGCCTGTCTGGCCTCAGCATCCTCATTTGTCAAGTGGGCTCATCCCTCTGGTCCCATAGGACGGTGCTGAGAATCAGGCAAGGTGAGGGGTATGCACACACCAGTCTGGGTGTAAAGCCCTCAGAGGCTCCTGTTGTTAACAGTTAACGGACTCCAGACGTGCAGCATTTACAGAATAACCCACCATGGTGAGTTCATGTCACAGGCGATGCCACAGAAGGGTGTGAGACCGAGAGAGGCAGAGACAGAGGGGGAGAGAGAGATGGCTGTGGCAGAGAGCAGGGAAGGCTTCCTGGAAGAAGGAAGACCCACACTGTGTGTTACGGAGGGATGGGCAGGATTTGCAGAGGCCAAGAGGTGCGGGGAGAGCTTGTAGGTGGAGGGACCAGCACCAGCACAAGGGAATCTGCTTGGGGAGCGGGGAGGGATGTCAGCCCCCTGGCTAGCAAGGTAGGGTGAGGAGGCTGGGGTGGGATCCTGGAAAGCCCCAGCTCGTCCTAGGCCAGGGCCCCAGGTCTCACCTCCCACCACTCCCAGCCCCTGGCCGAAAGCTCCCATCTGGTTTCTCCTCTGGCCTCTGCTCAAGCCCTGCCCCCACCTCCAGTGCACTCCGCTCAGTGTCTCTGCTGGCTGCTTCTGACTCATTGTTCCAAGCTGCGCAGGCACAACCCCCTCCAGAAAGCCCAGGCTGACAGGTCTCCCCTAGGATTAGTTCATTCTGTCCCAAGGGGAAGCTGCTATTATTATCCCCATTTTACAGAGGGGGACATTGAGGCTCAGAGAGAGGTCCAGGGCTGCACGGCTGGTGTCAGCGCTGGGATTCCAACTCCAAGTGGCCTGGCTCTCCTTTGAGCTCTTCGGCTGCCTCCCCACACCGCCCTGTGCCGGGCACTGCGGTCTCCTTACAGCCGGTGCAGGAGGTCGCTGGTTTGGCATTATTCCCTCCCCCGCTTCTCAGAGGAGGAAGCTGGAGCCCAGAGAAGGGTTGGGACCTGGCTGCCGCCACGCGGCCAGGAAGTGGTCAAGCAGATTCTGAAGCCAGGAGTGGCTGACCCCACTCCTCTGTGACAGGCCTGGGGAGGCTGCCAGGCCTGGGACGCAGGGGTGCATGGAAGGGAAAAGACTGTGGCCCAAGGCCCAGTGAGAGCCCGGGGCAGCCCTGGAAGGCGGAAAAGACAACCAGTGGGGACGAGGAGCAGAGTGGACAGGCCTGAGGAGCTGAGGGACAGATGCTGGTGGTGAGGTGGTGAGGCGATAAGGCTGAAACGGTGGGACCAGAGGAGGCAGAAGGGGAGGCGGAAGGGGCTGACAAGGGGAGTCGGGAGGACCCCAAGTGGCCATGCCAAGCCCTGGGTTTTGGGGCACCCCTGCCCTGTCCGGGTTCAGCCCTAGCCACTTGACCCCTGGGATGGTGCGGGGAATAGGGGTCAGCGGCAGTCACAGCCTCTCTCGACTCCCAGAATCAAAGGGGT